ACACGCCCCGATTCGAGTGCAGCAACTTTCACATTCACCCGGACAAAAAACCAGGTAGGTGCCCAGAAGCACGACTAGTTTCCCTCGCGTGATCCGTAGTGGCCTAACGTGGCTGACATGGGCCCTCATCGCGCAAGGAATTCAATGTCTCTCCCATCCCCCTCCCCGCTCCACACTAACTCCTCTGCCGTGACATCGCCTGGTGCCTGGACCCTTTCGAGGCCCCGTCAGCCCAGGTGCAGTTGCGTACTGCCTGCACACGCGATAAGCTACGCCACTGATTACTAGACGTCTGTGCATCTGCTTCACTCTCCGCATGAATCCGCACGGTCCAGAATTAGCGGTTTTTGATTGAGGTGGCGAGTTCAAAACAAGAGCCGACAAGCCCAAATGGCTTCCCTGAAAATTGAAAATGAAATGGCCTGCGGAGAATTTCCGACTTAATTAAGTCATTGAGATGCAGCACCTTTTCAATTACAAGAAGCCAATTTTTTTCCATATATAAAACATGTATTTAAACCAAGCAGCAAATGTGGAACCTTCTGGTGGGAAACGCTGTAAATAACTTAAAGTGTCATAGCATTACAGTGTTCATTTAAAATGCTCTCAGAACATCGTCCTGGTGTGGGTAACGTATCCCGCTCGAGAAACTGACGGGCATCGAGGCTGCTGTACAATAACAAGAATACGAATAATCAGTCAGATTTATAACGCGCACAAAATTCGTGCGCGGCGAGTTGTTAGCAATAAGTCAGAGGCGCGGGTCTGAAGTCTGAAACAGCTGACGCAGGAGACGTGACCGCCGCCACGGAGTGATGGACACACGCAAACATCACTCGATTGTGTTGAGCAAAGGGATGCTGGGAAAAAAAAACCCCAACAAAGTCTACTCCACTTTTTTTTTGTTCTTTAACTGCAGCCACGGGTGTGAAAGATTAATCCTGGACGTGCCAACGCCGAACATGAAAATGGAATGTAGAAAACGCATTTTTTTTGCGACGGTAAATCAAAGTGCGATCTGAACGGCGCGGGCAAAACGGAAAGAAAAAAAACCTGGCACGGAGTTTTGTGAGATGCAGCGTCGCAAAAGGGTGGATGGGGAGGGGGTGGAGGTGTCAGCAAGATTGTCGCAGGAAGGGCCATTAATTGATCGATCCCAAATGAACCAAGGAGGGCAAGCGAATGTCACAGAGTTGTACAACTCGTGGGAGGGTGGCGGAGCGGGAGAGGGGATCAATTCGTACCAAACCAATCCGCACCGGGGCCAGCAGAATGCAATTCCCGCTCCGCCGTTCCACTTCCTCTCTCTTCTCTCTCTCTCTTTCTGTTCGTTTTCTTTTGTATAAAGACGCGGTGGGGGGCAAGGGGGGGGGGGGGCAACACGGCCAAAGATTTTCTTTACGTCTTTCAACCTGTTGCGCAGTCAGTGCACTAACATTATTTAAAGTACAATAGTTCACAAATCAAAAAATAGCTTAATTTTTTCGTGTGTATTACAAACGTAAACTTTGCATAGCTATAATACATTTTGTTTGTTCTCTTTTCTCCCAAATTCATATATAAAAACGGGGGTGAAGAACAAAATTACAAAAACGGAGCTTTAACAAAAATAAATTTCTCGAGTCAAATATTCACAGACGCAGTTAGCAGAGCTCAAGGAACGAGTCTGCACACCCAAGCTTAGGCCTTTCTCTCTCTGCCGCGCAGCCTCACACAGAGCAAGGGGACAACAACAACAACAAAACAACAACAAAAACAACAACAACAGAAACGCAAAAACCAACGGAGCGGCGCTCGCAACACGTCGAGGAGCGTGCGTTCCCGGCCCTGTCGTCGTTCGCCATCTGGCCCCGGCGGCTCCGTGGCAGAAAGCGAACAGCTCGCAAAAATCTTTGCGACTTCAAATTCTTGTTTGGGGGGGGATGGGGTGGAGGGGTTCACTCAGCTCATCATCCGACCGGGGGTCGGTAAAGCGAGTACCGCTTTGTGGGAAGTCAACGGTGGTTTGTCTCGTGTATAGACTCGCCCCTTGCCATAGGAGTGTGGATTGTTTTATTTGTTCTTATCACTGCTGGTTCAGGGCTGTAAACAGAAGCTGAGCGCTGCATCAACGCTCATTTGAGAAAGCAAATCACTTTTTGACTTTGAGCCTTCGTCGATACTCGAATGCAAAATAACAGTTTAAAAAATAATTTATCGGTCTCCCAACCTTCACCAACTCACACCGACCAGCGTGGTGAAGCAGAGCTCCACCCGGGTGGGTGGGGGTAGGGGGTTGATCCGTCAGACAATTTCTGAGCTTTTTTCTTTCTTCAAAAATGCTAAATTGTACATAATTATTCTTGACGCACATTTTATCTTAGATAAATTTTGACTAAGCACTCTTGGGAAGAAAGCTATATTTTCCCCTCCGAAATGTTTTTTTTCTGGGCACGCCACTGCGGCGAAAGTATGGTGCCACGCGAGCCCCATGACCAACACGGCAAGGTAGAACGCCTTCACCCGTCAGGATCACCAATCGCCTTAGAGCAGGCCGTGCCCACGTTCGACTGTTCTCGCGTGCCGAACGGTTGACGAGCTGCTAAAAATCGAACCGTATTCCACCGTCAATAACTTCAATTTTGAAATCAATGAACCATTCAGTAAACGGTTATCGCAAAGTCTATAACCCATTAACAACCCGACGCAAAGTCGGCCTGCCAGTGCTCGACATCATATGGTGCCAGTGGCTCATGCATCAGGTGGCTCCATGCGTGTCGCTGTGACTACAGTGAGGAGGCCTTCATCCAGCAGTGTATGGACAATGACCGATGACGATGAGAACAAGGCGGCTATTAAACGGGACTTGCCGCAAGTGCGTGCGTGCTGAATCCAAGCGGCCGCGAGTGGAAACGCGACGCGTTTCATTTTCGTTTTCTGGTGGCGATATTGCTACAGTTTAATGTTGCACGCGTCCCTTCAAACAATAGCTGCCCCCCCCTCCCCGCACCCCCCTATGCTCGTGAGCTGTGTTCGTGTCTGCTTTCGTTATTGCTCCCATAATAAATAGCGTGCCTCCGATGCACAGGGCCACGTTCCCGCTCTCTGCATTTACGCGCAGCTCACGGTGGGGGCAGGACCACCAACCCCTCTGAAGAAATCTCGAAGCAAAAGCAACCGGGAATAAGAAGAGACGGCATCGCCGCACGCCGCCGTGAAGCTCAACGCAAGTATTTGTGGGGAGTTCCATATTCTATGCGGCCAACGCATCCAGGTCAAACAAGTTTAGAGGCCCGTCGATATAAAATACTGCTCTTACATGGGACAACGACGCGTTACTGACTTCCACTGGGAAGGAAATCACTTTTTTTTTGGTCACTTTACCTTAGAATAAAAATCTAGTTTCAGATTTGGGATAAGTAACCTGGGGGCACAGTGGACTCCTCTTGAAAATGGTGCCACAGGGCTTTTAATGTCCGCTCCGTAGCAGACGGCACGCTTTGGTAATCGTTCCCAGGAACCGTCGCTGGGCAGTAGTGGGAATCGAATTGTCGATGTCGCACAAAGTGTCTCAGTGGCGGGCACGGTAATCCTCTACACGCCAGCCAACCTTGACCTCTTCAAATGTTGCAATCTAAATTGTAACCCCCGCCTCCCCTCCCCCACCGAAAGTGGCAAATTCTCAAGGGACATGTTTATTCAATTCCTACCGAGTCAGATTTTAATACAACAACAAAAAAAGTCCTTTTATGGAAAATGTTCCAAATTAGCTTGGGGTTTTTTTTTACTCTCTTGTAAGGCACATTTTCACGAACAGAAACAAAATAAAACCTCAAGATGTCACCGTGGCAGATTACCTAGAGTTAGGCTTTAAGTAAATTTAGATTCCCCCGGTGGGAAAAAGAAAAGAAAAAACCTACGACGGCAATCGTGAACGCCAATTAAACACCATCAACAATCGGCACGCAGCACTCTCACTCGGCGGCAATTCACGCGGGAGGCCGTTCCGTCAGCGACACCCCAGAGTGTGGCACCGCGCACACCCTGCCCCCCCTAAACAACGCGCGGGCCTGGCGGCGCACGGTGGCGGCATTTTGCACGAGTCGATATCAAACGTCAATCTCATTTATTGCCTTTCCTTTTTGCATACGTGTGCCTGCTGGTTTAAACACTCTACGTGCATCACGCTCTACGTGCGGGTGGGGATGGGGAAAACTGGCGCACGCCCGCCCGCCCGCCTCCGATCGTGCGACGTGATGAAACATTGTCTCGTGTTTACCCCACTGGGTTAGCAATGACACCCGATATGGTATCAATAATCTACGGTCTACCGCTACGTACTCTACTACCGTCTAAGTCAGGAGTTCTCAACCCTCTTCATTTTGGATCGCGGACCGGACCTCCCCCCCCCCGTCACACCAAGATTGGATCGCCACCTCGCACAACCCCCGCTACACGTCACCCGGATCCCGACCCGATACTGCAGATCTTCCTAATATCCGTGCAAACATTCTTCCTTTTCGCCACGACTTTGAGAGGGGGTGGGGGAGGGGGGCATACGAGAAGTAATCCGAGAGTGCCAGAAAATTATTCGGAGCGATCTGTGCCTCCTTACTCGGATTCCCCCACCAATTAGTGCCACGGTGTCAATGCGGTTAAGAGAAATATCACCAGTTTAACATGTAGGAGGCTTTCGCGGCCAATATTATCCACAATGGAGGTACTTGGGTTAGATCGCGTGAATATAAATGCGTCGTTAAACCCGCCACCACCCGACACAGCCAACTAGTAAGGTTTGTCACGTGAAAAAAACGTAACAGTTTGTTACTAGTACAGCACAACGGTGTGTTGGAGAGTACTCAAATTGTAAACGTTGTGGGTTTACACTCCAACACACCGGTGTGCTGGACTAGTAACGAATTGGCACGTTTTGTTGACGTGACAAAAACCCTATGAATTGGCTGTGTCGGGTGGTGACGGGTTTAACGACACATTTATATATTTACACGATCTAACCCCGGAAAGCCTCTATTATGGAGGAATATCAGCGTGCAGCACTTTGCCAAAGGCAAACAACAGTGCGTGAGTGTGTGGGGAGCGGTGGTGTAGCGGTTAGCGCTACGCTGCGCTACGAACCTGGAGACCCGGGATCGATTTCCGCTCACGGCCTACACCGGTGACGATTATCTGAACCGGTCCTGGCCCTCCCCTAGGCCGACTCAGCCCTAAAACGAGTACCCGGTGCGGTGTGTAAACATCGTCACTGGGGAGACAAAGGGGCGGCCGGGCGTGGTGTTGGCCACCCACCCCCTAGCGAGAAGCACCTTCAGTAGGTGCTACTCGCTAACAACACTTGCCTCAAAAGTCTGTTTAGGCTACACGGGGGATCTTTGTCTTTGCCGTGGTCCCCCCACTTAACCTCTCGTGGGAAAGCTTAATAATTATTAATAAATAATAATTACTTCATAACTTATTCCCGCGGCCCCCCGTCCCCCCGCTCACCGGGTTGAGCACCCCTGCTCTTCTACTTCACGTACACAGATACCGTCAGGACATTTACAGGCAAGCACGCAGAGTCGACGAGACGGGAAACAACTACGCTTCTCGCTACGTTGCCATATTTAAGCATTGGCCCCGACAGTTATATGTCAAGGGATTCTTTTTTCTTAACCTACACGAGTCGTATTTTTTATTAACTCAGGAAGAAGGAGACATCTTTTCTTTTTTTTCTAAACGCCTGCATAGCTGCCTGAAACGAAACAAAACGGATAACAAGCAAGACGTGGCAAGCACCACACTTGAGAAATGAATTGCAAACAAACGTGCTTCTTTGTTTTCTCAAGTTTCAGAAAAAAAGATCGTTCACTTTGATGGCTGAAACTTTTGGCAAAAAAGTGCTCTCAGTTAAGGGTGCAGAAACAACGACAGGCAACGATGTATCTGATGCCCGTTGCAAGCGAAGTCCTAACAACATGCAAATCCGTTCAGGGACAATTCGAATTCCGTCCGAAAATAAACAAACCAAAAATATTTCTCCATTGTTTCGTGGCTTTCAAAACGGGGGGGGGGTGGTGGTAAGAGGAGGATACAAAAGCATGATGAAAAAGAATATCTTGACATAAGGCACCACACCAAAGACATTGAGCTAGTGCATTAATACAAACGAAAATCTTCAAGTAAAAAAATAATAATGTAAAGGGGTCACGGGATTGGGGGGAAGGCGGGGGGTAAAAAAAGATTTATAAAACTAAAAGTGCACGTCCATTTCTCTTTTGTCCATTATCGTGACCCCCCACGAAATGAGCTGATCGGGAACGAGCAGAACATGACGGGTCCCCGCTGCAGCAACGACAAGTGTCAAGTAAACAAAAAGTTAATCTTTCTGTTTCGGCGTCTGTCAAAAATAAAACGGCACGTGGCGCACAACGCAATGAACACTGCTAGGACACGAACACCAATCACGTGACGAAACGCACGGGGGGGGGTTAACCGCAATGGTAAATTATTCGAGAACACGCGTATGAATCATTGTACATCGTTCTCACGTACTACTATTATTATTTGTCGACACGTGGGCTCTCGTCGAAACAGAAAAGAACGAAAATAACCTCGGCAAACCAGCGATTGGCCCCCGTACAAAAATCCCAAAGACCTTTTTTCCCCTCAAGTCCACCTCAAGTGCCCTCCGAACTCCGCGAGTCCATCGCGGCGCGAGGGGGGGTCCCGCAGTCGTCATCGTGCGGTCACACTGTACTTGTGCACGACGCCGTGAAGTTTAAATTCCGCTGCGACGACCCCTGCGCTTATCTCGAGACGGCCCGCCGCATCTTTCGCCTTCAAATAAAAGCAACCTTCCGAGAAAAACAACGCGTCAGTCTCGTGTTATCTTCGGCACAGGATGCTCCTTTTACCCTCGGGTTTCTTTTTCCGTGTTCTTTCAAAATCTTCAATAGAAATGCAATCGTTCAGCGAGCTCCGATCGGTCGAAAGAATGTACTCTCTCTTTTTTTTTTGTATTTTCTAGGTATTCATCATCACCATCGTTATCGTCGTCCTCGTCGTCGTCATCATCATCATCACGTTAAATTCTTCCAAAAATGTATAAGGCAAGAAGATGTTGGCTATAATCCCTAGAAAAGAAAGATACTTTTCCAAAGCAGGTGATGCAAAAGGTGTTGCTTCCCAGTGATATTTTCGATTCACCTTCAAAAGGTCAAAGGTGCCTCTTCATATGCAGTGCCAGGTGGTCCGATCTTGAGAAGCACCTGCAGAGAGACAGGGCCAATGTCAAATACCACAAAAGTCACAACCCGCCTTTTCTGCTCACCGCTGTTGCGGACGCAACGGGCCGGCTACAAACAGCACCACTGAGAGATGGCATAATAGACAAGAGTGAACACTTCACATGGTATTGAGAACAGTTGTAGACGCTGGGCTTTCTAAACAGCACAATCAGAAAAGACAAAGGGTGTAATGATGCATCGATTCATCAAAGTAATGTTGATTGTTAAGCTCATGAAACGTTTTTTTTATCGCGTACATGGGAGAATCAATGTTACGTGTTTTTTATCGCGTACGCGAGAATCAATGTGTTTTTTTATCGCGTACGCGAGAAGCAATGTTACGGGTTTTTGTATCGCGTATGCGCGAGAATCAATGTAATATCTTTTCTAATCGTGTATGCGAGAATCAATGTTATATATTTTTTTTAACGCGTACATGAGAATCATTGTTTTTTTTTTCACGTACGCGAGAATCAATGTTATTATTATTATTTTCATCGGGCGGCAATGAGTTCAGGCGACCCTCTGGTCACGAAGTGGCCGCCACTTTCACCACCACCACCACCACGTTACAAAAAAAATCATCATCAATTACAGCACTGAATTGCAACAATTCATAACATGGCGAGGAATGACAAATAGGTCCAAGTATTTCTTATCGCACAACTTTAAGGAGTCCAGTCCATCACGAATGCGCACTAATCACGCGTAGCTCTTTGAACAGCGCCGTTTTAAACCTCTCGCAAAAACTGGCTCGGGACTCAAGGGACGGATATCCCGGACGTGAGCCGGGAGGAACTCGGTCCGGGTCTTGGAGCCGGAGACCTCAAAACTGCACTGGCCGCCGGCCTCGCCGCACCAACGAGGTTCACACGTGGCGGGCACAGCGGATCGACCGTGGGGGGGGGGGGGGGGGGGGGGCGGCTGCGGATCGTGGACGGCGTCGATGTGGGTGCGTTGATGCCGGCACGCGCCGATCGGCGAGATGGGACGGAGAGGATTCATGCAGACTCTTGGAGGTTGAGTAGGGAGAATTTTGGAGGCAATGCCGTGTTATATTTTTCCAATATTCTTGAACCCAAAGAACTGCAGTCACAGAAGGGAAACATTCCACGTGTGCACAACGTCCGAGGTTGAGCCGCAACCTCTTGGGTGAATCTCCCACAGATGGAGACCGATTACAGTTACCCCCCGGGCTCACTACCTTAAGACAGCAGGGATAGCGGCCGGGGGGGGAGCAGTGGGTGAAGCAGGGAAGGGAGAGAAAGGGGAAGAAGGGAAGGGAGGTTGGGGGGGGGGGAGAGAAATATCACCGAAACAAAACTTCCATGAAAAAAAGAACAAACGCGATGTCCGGATCAGCATTCTTCCCCCCCCCCCCACCCCCCCCGGGCTCAATGTCTGAGGCCCCCCACCCCGGCCCCCATTCTCTGGCCATTCATACTGGGTTCAGAAATGCTACATTTAATAGGGGGCCAGTGCAGCTCGTCTCATATCGGGGTTGTGAGCGGGCCGTAGTTCCACTACCGAACTAACACACCAACCGGACCATCTCTGAAAAAGAGCCTCACAGCTAATCAGATTCCTCCAATACAAGTACATCTTCTGATTCTGAGATGCGCAGCGCTGGCACGGCCGATGATGTCGTCGCTGTCGTCCTGCACGGCCGATGGTGAACGCACGAGACGGTCAGCGCACAAACAACTGCGTCTTCACGAAATAACCCAGGAATCACGCCGCAGGCCTCCGACATGGATCGTTCGATTTCCTGGAAGCACAGCATGGACACGGGTTCGAACCCAGGCCCCGTGTGGTGCCCCGTGTGGTGCCGCCCGGCTTGACGCGGGAGTGGCGGGGGGGGGGGGGGCTCGCGAGTGTGCGAAGGCCCGGGGATAGAGGTGCCAGATGAGCCGCCGACGTCGTCAAGGTCACACATTTTTAGCTTGGCCGCGGGGAAGGCAATGTGAGAATCTTTGCTACAAGGCGATCATTGTGCCGGAATTTTCTTTTTTTTTGTAAATCAGACTGCATTCTATTGGTACAAGCCAGCGGTGGGTGGAGCGCCGTGGCACGGTGGATTGCTCCCCGCTTTGATGAAGCCAGCAACACGAGTCTAACCTACGGCTAACATCAATAACGAGCAATAACCAAACTGCCCCCCCCCCTTCATCAACCCCAACTGGCCAGCGTGGTGAAGTATGGTCAAATAACCCTCATGAGTGACAACGGCTTGGGAAAGGCCTTCACCCACCAGTGGATTGACAAAGGGCTGCACACACTTGTATTTTTACTCTTGTAATTATCAAGCCAATACAAAAACAGCGTTTAATGCAGGATAATACGACACTTTGCTGCATTTACAACTGAAATGAATGCTGGTCGGGGGCCAAACAAGTGAAGGATCAACCACGACGCCTCTCAGCCCTCAACAAGGCCTCGCCACGCCAATCTGTTTGGTGTGCCACAACGCTAACAAACTTCAATCCACAAGGCTCTTGGGGTTAGATCGCGTAAATATAATTGTATCGTCAAACCCGCCACTGCCCGACACAGCCAGTTGGGTAATGTTTGTCAACGTAACAAAAAAGTTCCATTAGTTACTACTTAAAAAAAACCTTTATCATGGATAATATTGGCCGCGAAAGCCTCCGCGTTAAACTACAATCCACCGCTTGCGAGCGCAGCCGAGCAGCAGGTGTACATCGTAGGAGGCTTCAAGCAGCGGTCTCCTCTTTACCCAGAACTCTCAAAAGTCCATGACTCATTATTCACGACGCCTCCATCTGGCACTTCACTTTAGCGACCGCCTCTAAGAGTAAAACAAGCAAGTTGTAATTTGTGAGAGTTTTTGATGACCCCCCCGCCGACGGTACCGCTTCCCGTGCGCGCGACTGCGGCTGCCGCGTGGAACTGATGCGTGAATGGGAGTCTTCTTTCTGTCGCGTCGTTGGCGCTCGCACCTTGGAGGTTCGAACGAAGGTCATTGCCGCACCGGAGACTTAAAATTGTCGTCGAGCAGAGCCTCACCGCCGAGCGCCAGCGTGGCCCGTCCGGCACGGGTGGCGCCCAGCTTCCGACGTCAACGTCGGCACCGCTTCAAGCTGCGCTTCAACGTGTCTCCAAGGCGCGTCTTCTAGTCATTTGCGGAAGTCGCGGCGTCGCGGCCCCCATCGACGCGTCGAATTACGGTCGATTCTCACGCTCGCGGCACACGCGCGCAATCACGTCACGTCAAACTCGGCACCGCCGCCATCCAACAGAAATAAAAAGATGGCCTTCACAACCGCGTGAGAAGCCATTGAGACCAGCGGTGTTTCTTTTTCAAGGGAGGCCGATGTTTCGAGCAACGGCCACGTCTCATACATGTATTCCTACAACAGGGAATTAACAATTAAGATGCGTGGATTCATCGACTGTCGTCAATTTTTCAGCTTAATCGAATAAGTGGTTTTCTTTCATCATTTTGTGTATGTGACGGGTTCATGTGAACCCCTCCAACCTCTAGATGCCACTACATTCATTAAAACATGAAAAATATCACTTTTTTTTTAATCGGATAATAACCACAACTCGTGGCAACTGAAATGTGAGAGGGGTAAATCATTAAACCCGCACTTTACAATGCACCGTATTCGTACGGATCAAATCACGTAATGTATTCTTGAATCCATGGATCGTCAAAGACAAGGCGAGTCATCGATTAAAAGGGGGCCCCGCAAATCATTGCACCCCCAGCAGAAAGGCACCCCCCCCGAATCCGGCCTCGATGCTCACAACCGCTCGCATGTCTCCGTCAAAAGTGGTGAAGACACCACTTGGAGGAGCTTGGTGTCAGCTTACCGGGCGAGGGTCAGGGAGAGGGGGTGGAGGGTGCATTCATTAGGGGGGGGGGGGCACGGGTGCCACTCACTCCCACGCCCCATCCATCGCAGCCAGGGCCAGTAACGCCCCCAATCCGCTTACAATCCTCGCGAGTGTAATCAATATTCCAATCCGCAGCTACAGCGGCAATTAATGATTCCAGAAACACCACGGGCCCTGGACAAAATCCACCAGAGCCGCCACCAAACCTCCCCCTTCTCCTCGCGAGCCGTGGGGCGGCTTCAAAATGAGCTCCCACCCCACGTCTCCACCCCACACCTCTTCGGCAAGGACACGTGGACATTGCCAGCTACCCCTTTGAAGAATGCCGTCGCTTTTGCCGCTGCTGCCGCTGCTGCTTCTGCTGCTGCTGCTGCTGCTCTCGTGCGAATTTTACCAAGGCGAGTTTCGCGTACGGCAAAAGCTGGCATTTCATCAAAATAAGGTGCGTGCCAATACGCGCTAATCACCGTCACGACCGTTTGATGCATTGGGAACTCCGAATGAGGAGTGAGCACAAATCACGCTAAACGAGGACCGTTTAGCTCACACTTCAAGTCAGCGCCCCCCCTTTGGCTGTAGCAGCGCGGGCCGAGAGACGTCGCCAACTGCTCGAGAGGCATCATCCCTTGCTCCCGGCTTGAGAAACTCGGCGGCCGTGGTTTTAGTACCCCCCCCCCCATGCTGCTCGGTTGGCACAGAGCCCAGGGACTCCTCTGCCTCCTCCATTCAGCAAAGAGGCCGGCCCACGGCGATACGACGGAAGCGTGCACGGGTACGGCAGGCATCCCATCTTCCAGTGATCCATCAACCCCAGCCTCCCACAGCGCAACCAAAGCACCTAGTTCACCGCACCTGCCACTTTTGACACAGTGCACGCGCTCTTTCGTATTTTGTAGGTATTCGTCTCTACGATTGTTATCACCGTTAATGGAAAATTCTCGCAAAAATGTGAAAAGATTTTGGCTATGATCCCTAGAGAAGAAAGATACTTTACACAGCATACCAGGTACTCATTTGAGACCGAGCCGACCTAGAGGAGGCCCAGTACCGGTTCAGATATTCGCCACTGGTGTTGGCCGTGAGCGGGAATTGAACTCATTTCGCTGGGTTCGTAATGC